GAGGAGGGGAGGGAGAGGGAGAGGGACCTGGGATTGACATGTGAAGCAACCTTGTTTCCAATTTAAATTTAAAAATGAAAAAGACTAAAAAGAAAAAAAAAGAATTAAGAATTTTCCCTGCTGCCCATAACTCCCACCTCAGAAGGATGCCCTTCCTGAGGAGGAAGCTTGCTGGGATATTCCATCATCAAAGTTTAGAGGAGCTTTGTATCAAAGAATCCTAAAATGTATGGAAAGAGATGCAAGCACACAGAACAACGAAAAGCAAATGTAGCCTCTAGGAGAAACTGCACAAAATCATGACAGGTCCTGAAGAGTTTAGTAGAGGAAAAGACTTCGAGTCTATGTGTACTTATGGAGTTCCATTTCTGTCTGTACAGAGCTTTGTGGAATATACAGAGGAAAGCCATCTCAAGATGCCCAGGAGGAGGTAGAGATGGGGGGACTCCCAGGCAGGAAAGGGAGAAAGAACCAAAAAATCCTGTGCATTTCTGATGCCAGAGACTTTACATGTCATGTACACTCACTTCTCACCTCTGTGATGTGTTGAGGGAACTGAGACTCAAGGAGACCAAACTCATTGTTGAACACAATAAAATGTTAATAAATACAGCCCGGAGCATCCGGACAGTGCTAGCTTTCCAGAGATTCTTAGGGCTAGTGCAACTTCTGCAGTTTGCTGTTCCTATGCTGCAAGCTCAGGCATAAGTGATTCTGGTCTTTGACTCCCTATATCTGCATTTCATGAGTGTCCACTCATATAAACAGTATTTTTTTTTAACACAGGAGAGGTGAAGACACTGGGTCCTGGGTGCCATGCCTAATATCATCAGCCTGGCTATTCAATTCTTATGGCCACCAAACTCACAGCTTCCATCTATGGAAATGTTAAAGTGGGTGTGTGGGAAGCTAGGGTAGGGGGCCAGATCTACCATACAGTTCCCCAAAGGGACTCCAGCCTTGGATAAGAAGTGAAATGGCAAGCATAAGGTCTAGAATTAGAAAAAATTTCATTTTGTGCATTCCAGGTGTGGGCCTTTATGTCTTTGAGGTCTCTCCCTTCCCTTCCCCTCAACTGTTTATGAATGACAATAAAGAAGCTAACTGTGAGTTGCAACTTGTTATTACTGGTATGACTATTAACTCATAGCAACAACGAATATGGCTATGTAGGTGATTACACAACTAAAGAGCCTGATGCATGTTGGGAACTTGCCACATGCTCCCTTGTTTTCAGCTCAAAATGACAAACCTTCCCTCTGCAAGAAGGCAGATGCATTGCCAACCTTTCCCTAATGTTGGCAAGGATAAAGGGCCTATGTCTAAAAGGTCCCAGTGTCTAACAGGACAAATATCAGCTCAGTCTTCAGCTTATGACTTGGTTATATTTTGTTTTGAGTCACAGTTCAGGAGGAATTTTTTTTCAAAAATCTTTTCTTTCCTGAAGGCTACTAACAGGCCTCTTTGATCATTTCAACCATGGCATGCATGAGTTTGAGGGGACTCGGACAAAAGCAGATTTTAAGATGATATCAGACTCCTGTGATCTAAGGAGGGGGGAGTGGTCCTGACCAGCATCTGCCATCTTTCCAATGTTCTCCTCCCAGGCCTTGTCAACAGGTAAATCTTTACTGGAAAAAGCCAGGAAGATTTGCATTTGCCAGTATACTAGGAACAATGTAATGTGATGACCCTGAGCCGAAGTATGTGTTTCAAATAATAAGGATGTGATAGAGAAATCATAAGGTTTGATAGAGAAAAGAGCTGAGATAGATACCTCCTCACAGTGGGGGAGCTGGGAAAGTAGCAGCGACCCACAGAACTGACTTACCCACAGAGCTGACTTACATGTATAGACTTTAGAGCAGAGGGCTATCTAAGCTTGGAAGGGAGGGGGAGGGGCGTCTGACTTTAGCAAATCAGTAGGAGAAATAGCATGCGGGTCTGTAACTTGGGAAGCTAAACCACTGCACCACTCCACCTCGGTGCTACTACATGCTAGGAGTTTAGTAACTTGAGAAGAGTATTAAGTATAATATGTATGAGGCTGATCACTTCTCCTGGGACGGCATCCATCATCCAGCTGTATGGGGATTTGTTGTTTAAAAACTTACACTTCTTATTTGCACTTCTCTTTCAGACTTCAACAAAACAGAACATGACAATCCAAATTCTAGATTATATCAAACTTCACTTTAGTGAGTAACTATATGAAATAAATAGGAATTAATCATTCAGGACTGAACTACCTTTAGTTAGAAGACATAAAAGTTCAGTTTTCTACCATGTAACACTGAAATAGTCTATGTTTAGCGTCTACCTGGTCTGTGTGGGTGAAATTGTTCTCACATCACGGTGGTCAACATGGAAGAACACGGTGACCACCAAAAGCATGGATTGCTCCCCATTGGCAACCAAGCAGTCTGGTTTGCAGTAGACATCAAGGAGGTGGCCTCCAACTCAGAACTGATACAGTCCACCTGGAGACAGCATAGGATCCCACAGGGTGAGGGTGGGGGCGTCAGGAGTGGCCTTCCCCCACTTGGTTATTTTTTGTTTTGATACCCTTGATAAAGTTGAGGTTGTTTGAACCGTGTTTCTGACAGATTGATTCTAATTTGAGATTCCTACAACCCTCTCCTTGGTCACTATCAGTCAAGTTTGTGCATGTCACAGGTTTATTATCAAGGATCCTGTGAGGGGAACAGAGGAAGGCAAGAGTGGAGGCTAAGCAGACAGGTGCAGATTCCACACCCACTCTCTAGGAACTCTCTCCTTCATTGTCTGAACTGTTCGGTTCAGCTGTCTTTTCAACTTTTTACAGAGACTCCACTACATAGACAAGACTAAATCATGAAGGGACCAAGCGAAGAAGTGGTCCTAGCATTGTCTAAGGCTATGTAACTAGGTTGTGGCTGGGAGGCATTGCTCAGAGGGAGACTTTGGGGTTGACTTCAGACACCAAAAATCAAGTTAATAAAAGTCATTGAGTGGACAGCCAGCAAGGATCGTCTGCCCAGATTTGTCTCTGCCCCTCTCTGGAATGGCATTCCTTCTTCCAGGGTAAGATGCTGACTCATTCTGACATGGGGGGTCTTAGAACCTCTAATCACAAGGAGTAGTTGCAGGGAATTATTTTATGGTCAGCTTAAAAGGGCAGGGGTGGAGGTTGAGAATTTCTGACCTTGAGAACAAACAGCAAGTCCTCCTATCTGGGCCAGTGCTGGGGACGGAGGCAGGATGATATTGGTGTAGGGGAAGATGGTACATGGCTGCATGATCTCAGTGGTGAGTGGCTGGAAGCAACTTTCATCTCCTCAGTGTGTGATGGAATGATGAAACTGATTCTTAAGAAACAAGGGAGGGTTTAAAACTTCTTCAGTTACAAAAAGGAAGTTGAGGTTGCTTCTTTGTTTTCTGCACTAAGAGTTGATAGAGGCCTTGCTTCATCTTTCTGCATAAGTCACTGTAGGCTGAAATCAGCCCATGGTGACAACACTCTTGTAAGGTCAGATTGTCAAATATCATGACTCAAGATAGACATGGAGGTGCACACCTTTAATCCCAGCACTCTGAAAGCAGAGGTAGGCAGATTTCTATGAGTCTGAAGCCAGCCTGGTCTATATAGTGGGTTTTAGGCCAGCTAGAGCTGCATAATGAGACCTTCTCTAAAAAAAAAAAAAAAAAAAAAAAAAAAAAAGACCAACCATCTCCATATCTGGTGTAGGGTAATTTCCCAGAAATCTCTGACTGGGATGAGAAGACTCAGGGCCTTGTTTTCTTTTCTCTCTTTTCCTTCTAACTGCCCACCAGGGAAAGGTAAGAAGTCAAAACTGTCTTTTAACTCTCCCTGTCTTGACTCAGCTGACACATTCTACCCCTATCCTCTTCCATGATCCAAAGCCAAGAACTTGCTAATGTGTAAAACTTGAGGGAAATTCTCTAGAATCTTGAGAAAATGAAATTGTACCTGAAATCAAGGTTTCTCTGTGCTTTGTAAAAATTAAATCAAAATAAGTGGTTGTCCCATGACAATAACTTTCTCTTTACAAAAGGGTCAGAGTCCAGCTAGGAATTCAAGGCCCAGAGAATGGCAGAATTTGTGACACAGTAAGAACCTAGGACCAGGGCTCACACAGCTTTAGTATCTAGCTCTCTCTCTGTCTCTGTCTTTCTCTCATAGCTGAAAAATTCTTTGCAGAGATTCTTAGACCCAGTCTTCATTTATATCTATGAAGTTCTTGTAGCTGTCTATTTAAAGATCTTTATAGATTTGCTGAAGCCAGGTTAATCAAAAGAGGGAAATGATATGGAACCAACACAGGAGTACATATGTACTACACCAACCCCATGTGCTTGATGCCCCAGTGGATAAAGGTGCCACCAAGTCTGATGACCTGAATTACATCCCTTGAGCCTACATGGTAGAAGTAGAGCCAACTCCTGCAGGTTTTACAACACATACACACACACACACAAACACACACACACACCACACAGAGGGGGGGCTAATAAATAAGTAAATAAATAAATGCATAATTCTTTTTTTGTAAGTTAAATGATCTGACAACGCTGCCTTTGCCAGGCATCTCTCTTAGTAGTATGTTTTATACTGTTCATATTTATTGACCATTAATGCTTATTCCAGGTAACTCAGTCCTAATGGGTAACAAGCAGGGCATACATCAGTTCTTCAACTACAAGAAATTTTTAGCTACTCTTTCATCACATAGCCATTTTAGACACTGAAATGAAGAGAGTACTCCACTTTCCCCATCCCCAACTCCCATCAACTGTCTGGGATAAATGTTAAGAGCAAATTAAATTCTCATGGCATGGTCACCAAATAACCAGACAACCTAGAAAGTCACTTGCTGCTTCCTGGAAGAGATTGGATCTGATCATCAAAGAAGACAAACAAAAACAAATGCCTTTTCCGGCAGCTTGGCAGCCAGAAAGGTGCCATTAGATCCAAACTGGGGAAATCAGGAAATACTCACAATCATTATAAAGGTTCCCAGGAACTCAGAGACTGTCTCCTTAGCTACATGGCTCTTCAGGGTCAGCCTCTGTGTGAGACTCTTCTTGGTGCGTTCCTTCTGAGAAGGCATCTTGGGGTTTCTGTCAGGGGTGTGCTTTCCAGCAAGGACTGCTTGCTCTGTTCCTTGGCCTTCACTACTACATTAAAACAAAACAAAACAAAACTGAACACTAAGCTCCTCGCAGATTCCTGGAGACAACTGGGGAGACACTGACTATGCAAACACTGTCCCAATTAGAGGCTGTGACTTAATCCTTGTCTGCTGTCAGTCCCTGCCTGCTGCTATTTCTTTTGAATTAGTGAGTTATAACCCCAAATCCTCAAAATGATCCTTTTTGTACCTGATAGATTAATCATTACCTTTATTTTCTGGCTGCTTCCTCTTTGTTGGCTTTTCCCCCAGGAGATGAGAAAAAAGATGCTATGTTAGTTGTGTTGCCAAACCACAGAGGTGGGCCTCAGTCCAGAAGAGATTCACACGTTACACAATGTCTTCTGATGATTTGTTGTCTCCTATTCGGAAATGGGCGGGTGGTTTGGGTGTCATTTAGAATTGTTATTGGGTATGGATACCTTCACTGTGAGCACTCTCTGCCGAAGACTTTCATCCAAGCTGGAGGGTATAAGGGAAAGAGAGGGTCGTTGTTACAGAAATTTGTCCCCGCCCCCCCCCATTTCCACCTAGCAGGGCCTCTGAGTTTCATGAAACTACTCTAGAGCTGCTAAGAACTGCTGTAGAGACACAAGGGGCCGATTGAAAGGCATCACAATTGTGAGTTTATGGGACAAGATGGGAACTCCCGTTGACGTTGTACACGGAACTGGTCTCCCTTTCTGCTGAGCAGAATTTAGGATTCAAGAATCAAAAAGACAGAGAAAGCAGCAATACACACCAGAGGGTTGAAATTCCAGCCCCTTGAGCCAGAAGGGCAGTCAGACTATATGCCATCTCAATTAAAGAAGAAAGGGGGTAACTATGACTCACTAAGGCGGCTAGTTCAAATCTGATGAATTAACATCCTTGCAGGCAACGGACTACATTTGGTAATAGCTTCTTGTCCTGCCCGATAAGCAAGCCCTGATTTCCAAAGCTAGTTTGTCTGAAAAGATGGAATTCAGCTGTAGCCTCTAAATACCCCCCAGGCAGTCCCACTGAATTAGAACCCACATTGTACTCCCTCCCTCCCACAGAGTAGCCAGCCCAGTTTCATTCCTCTTGGGGGCCCTCCCCTACCTTTGCAGGAGGCCTCCAGTCTTTTCCAGTTGAGGAGGCAGGCAGGAAGGAGGGAGGAGAAGATATGAGGAGAGCAGCTGGGAAGAGACCAATGGCAGAACGAAACACCTAAGCTGCAAGTAAATTTTACGGTTCAGACCAAAGAGTTCACATTACAACCAAACCTAGGGCAAAACCTAGCATTTTGGCTTTAGCTCCTGATTACATGATCATGGAGAGGATGGATAAACTCAGAAATTTGCTTTAACTCCTGGTTAGGTGGTCGTGGAGAGCATTGTCTTGGAGAGCTTCCTGTGACTACACTGTACGCAACTCCTGGTGGCTAGACCAGAGGAACAGGACTTTATTGTCTGACTTCAGCTAATTAGACAAAGGGTGTTCTGCAGAGTCTTCATTCACTCACCTGACAAGTATTTATGGCATACTTGCTGTGTGCCAAGTACAGCCCTTAGCACAAAAGCACACAGCAGTCCTCCTTGTCGGTCACAGGGCTGAGTATGATGGAGACCAACTTAAGGGAAACAATCACACAGGCACAAATAGACAATTGCAGCCGAGACACATGCTCCACAGGCAGGGGCTGTATTCCTATGGGCAAACATGACAAGGGAAGTTCACCTTGTTGGAGCGATCTCTGTAGAGTCTCCCAGGAAGTCATGTCTGAGCTGAGATCAGGAGGCACAAGGGTTACTCACATGAAATGGGGAAGGAAGTCGATGTGAAAGGCTTTGAGGGGTGGAGTGGGAGCAGCGGGTGCCTACCAGAGAATGAGAGAAACACCTACTGCGGTTAGCCTCCTGGGAGAATGAAGGAGCAGAGCACAGAATAAGCTGGGGTCGGGGAACCAGACTATATTGAGCCTTGGGAATTGTGTGTCAGGGTAGAAGTGTTATAAATCATTGAAATAAATTAGGCAGGCAAATGAGCTCATTAGATCTTCGAGTTTTAAAAAAGATCATCCTCTGATGACTGTCTCTGATGAACTTCTGGCAACTGATGGGTCCTGTACAACAGATAGCTATTGCCTTCAGTTGTGTAACGAGTGATGAGTTCATCAGGCTCCTGGGAGTATCTCCAAACCTCTGGCCACACACACAGTCCTGGTTAAAATCAGTGAGTCACAAGCCAAGCGGTGATGTCACACACCTTTGATCCCCATACAGAAGGAAGCAGAGGCAGGCAGCTGTGAGTTCATGGTTAGCCTTGTCGACAAGAGCAAGTTTTGGGACAGCCAAGACTACACAGAGAAACCCTATCTTGAAAAACAACAACAACAACAAAAATGAATGGGTCACAAGCAAAACAAAAAGATATGAATGTGAGAAGGGGTCATATGGGGAGGAGGAGGGGTGGGGGAGTGAAATAAAGAAGGCTGGGTACAGAGTAAACAGAATGCCCCAAGTACACATTAAATTGTCAAATGCACACATTTAATCAATTAAAAACGATAATACTAGTTGTGGGTTTGAGAGGGGATTAAAGGAAGCCTAAAATAGCCATACATAGACCACGTGAGGGTGCTACATTATTCGAGATCTGAGGGGCAGCTTTCTCAATGAAGAAGTGGGAGCTGTTTAATAGTTCTTTGCATTTTAAATGGAAAGGACATGGAAAATAAAAGCTTCCACCAAGGTATTTTGCTGGGTCCTTCGCTGGCTGGGGAAAGTGGCACAGAGCTCTTGGAGAGGAGCCCTGGAAAAAGCTAGAACCGTAGTGAGGACTGTGGCTTCTGTGCGTGTGAAGTGGAGCCATGGGCACGTAGGAGAGCTATGAGGTGGGAAGCAATGTGGGCCACCTGAAAAGGGTGTGTTCAGGGAGGCGGCAAATCAGGAGAGAGAATGTGAGAGGCCTAGAAATAGAGACTGAGCAAATGTATTTTGTGCTTAGGTCAAGGTTAGCATCTATTGCTCACTCTGTATCACTGTAACTCATCATCAAATGTAACTCCTTACTTCTGTCTCCAGTCACCAAGCAAAACCTCACAAGTACCCTAAGAAACTAAGAGTGAACATCACCGAGTCCTTACTCCACTTTGGGAGGGACCTTTGTGGAAATACCCTGCCCTTCCTCCACCTTTGGAGGGAACTTTGTGGAAATACCTTCCCCTTCAGTGTTCTAAGTGGATACATGGAGCTACTAGTAATTTCTGTCCATCCATCCATCCATCATTCCTCCTTCCATCCCTCCCTCCCTCCCATCCATGCATCTACCCCATCCATCATCCATTCATCCATGTATCTGTCTATCCCATCCATTCACTTATCCCCTCTATCCATCCACCCACCCCATCCATCCACCCACCCCATCCATCCATCCATCATTCATCCATCCAATCCATATATCTCATCCCTTCACTCACCCATCCCATCCATCCATCTATCCATCCATCCTTCCATCCATCCATGAATGATATCCAATCCCAGCCATCAATCTATATCCTATCCTAGCCACCCATCAGTCTTTGTCCTATCCATACATTCTATTTCATCTACTCATTAATCTATCCACCCACCCCTCCAACCTACCCATCCTTTCATGCATCCATCTATCCATCCAACCATCTCATCTATCCAAAAAAACTTCACTAAATACTGGCCATGCATCAGACACAGCATCAGGCACTGGAGATTAAAATCCAGATCTCTTCTGCTAAGAATTAATAGTCTAAGTGACAAAGTCCCACCCAATAAAATAAGAGGTATATTGAACTAAAATCCCAAAGACAGACACCTGGGAGGTTGCTCCATGCTAGTCAACACCTAAAATTGCTGGACTCTTTGGGCTCCATGCCATACTGAATGTCCAAGACCAGTCTCCAACGTGCAGTTAATTCCATCTGAATGTGACCCTCCCTGGCTCCAGCATTCTCTTTGGTGTGCCTGATTTTGCCCACCCAGGAGATGAATAATTATTCACAAGCCTGACCCCCCCTCACCTTTTTTACTTCGCCTGACTTGTCCCTGTAGTTCCACTCTAGTTCTGCCTGTTCACACTTGGAAACTATGTCACATCCCAGGACTGTTCCTCTTTCAAAATCTGTAACACTAAGATTTCATTTCACTGATTGGAATGTCCATTCCTCATTTTTCATTCATCCACACTCCTGAATTCTGCCTGGCTTCACTCTCACAAAGTCAGCCTCCCTTCCCACAGAGTGCTTACCAAGGGCTTGCCTGGCTTCATGATGCACTTACCTGCATCTCAAATCCCACAGACCTGTTGACTCTCGTCTACATTCTCGTTGCCCAAGCCCAGCCATGGGTATGGTTGGCCATGAGTCTGTCTCAAGTATTCTCTCCCCAGACAGATGGACGATACTAGGCAAGCCCAGACAGTTGTGTTGATTGTCCCTGTGGCAGGTAATTAAGGCACAGTGTCAGCATTGCTGCTGTCTCCTCAGTTAGCTTTCATGTCCATGGCTCCAGATTTTACCAGGAATTATAATCATCCATCTCTTTGGGGCTGGACCCCAAGGACTCCCGAGTACCCTTCATCATCTGGATCCTGCCACACTTTCTTCTCCACAGCAGGCACATGCCTCTCCTAGGCCCCTCCAGCTCCCGTTGCCAGCCTCCCCCGGCCCCAGCACAGATGATGTGTTTCCCTGGGATCCCATAGAAAATCAATTAAGGCTCATGGACTGTAACTCTTTTCATGCCCCTCCTTCTCAAAAATGTGCCCCAGTTTTGTTTCTGTGCCCTGTCCTTGCCTTCTTTTTGCAGAGAGCCCCATTCTGCACTCTGATGGGGCCCCCAGAGACTCCAGCCAGTTAGCACCCCCTTACCTCCTTTCTTTTCTACACTGGCCTTTGTCCCAGAGCCCAAAACAAGCCCAAGTTTTGTTTTTATGCTGAAAACATTCTTTCAAGGTTATTTGACTTCAGATTACCATTTCATCTGGCTCCTCCACTTTTCTCCTCACTTGGGGGGGCAGATAAATTTTTCTGAATATAAAATCATATTAACTCAGAAAAGTTATAAACATTTAAAATAAAATGCCAAAATCTTTTAACCCCTGGCCTCAGAGATAACCAGAATTGGAATACACACCCTTGGGATTCTCAGTAGTAGATATGTGTAGGTATTTTTCCTCCTAAAAGTGACATATTTACTTGATCAAACTGGTTTTGTGTTGTTTCTTTCTATGCCGATGCATACTTCATCTTTCTAATGACTTGCAATAGTCTCTTGTACAAATGTGCCATGTTAAACAAGCTCCTTTAGCAGAAAGTTGGTTATTTCCAGTGCTATTAAAACTAAAACGGAGCCCTCGGCCTCCCAGCCACATTTGGGACATCACCAGGGTAAAATGTCAACAGCAGGCCCTTACCAGGCAACCGCAGGGCCTTTCTAATTGCCCACAGTGCCCCCGTATTAGGAAATACAGGAGCTGGTAACAGTAAGTGACGTCACACCTCCCAACCTATGCCGACTGCACGATTCCAGCCATCCTTCCCCCAGCCATCCTTCTCGTCTCCCAATGAAGACAAATTGGGCACAGGAGCCCTGCCTGTAGCAGCCGATCTCCTTTTCCTCTGCACTGTCCCAGATGCGTTGCCCTCTCTACAAGATAATAGTAACTCAACTAACCTACAACACTGAAGGCCCCATTGGCTCTTTGACCGGTGTCAGCTGGGTGTGTGTAATTGTCCTGTAGGATGTAGACCGCCCTGCCCCAGCTGCAGGACTTGGCCAGATGTGGGAAGCTGCATGTTGCTGAAGTCATCTGTCATTCAGCCATCCTGTGGGAGAGGATCCACTCTGGTGGACTTCTTGCTCCAGCGACTCCATCTTCCTTTCATCTTTGTGGGGAGAAACGTCATGACAGTAACAAATCCCCAATCCCCAGACATCGCTGCCTTGAGCTGTGCACCAGACAAGCAAAGGCGTTGACCTGGAGTATCGGTCCCAGGTCATTTCATCTAAATATCCCCCTGTTTGGTCATGGTGGTTCCCTGCTTTTCCGTCCTGCCTCAATGGACCTTTCTGGTGGCGGGTTCTACCTGAGAAGCCATAGTTGGCGGTTTTTTGTTGTTGCTGTTAGCTGGGTTTTTTGTTTGTTTGTTGAGACTTCATTCTACCTCTCCCTTTTTGTGAGAATCAAACTCTTGTCTTACAGACTTGAGGCTCGGTGCTCAAGATCTGTAACGGCAGACTTCAGCACTCAGGTTCACTTCAGTTTCTTTTAAGAGCAAGAGCGCTCTATGCACACACATCCACCTGGCCTCTACCTGGCCAGAATGCAAAACAAAAATGGGCCGGCTTTCACCACTGCTCTCTGTCTTGTTTTCCGCACATCAAATCTTCAGTACCACTTTACAAAGGTGTTCATAGTTTTTTATATTCTTTTGGCCATAAATCCCTTTCTTTGGAGAAGGAGGGGTGCATGGAAACATTGTCTGCAGTCATACAATAGGTGAATAGGTATTGTTTTTCCCATCTGTATCAATGTGTCGCCCACCTTACCTCTCCCAATATCCTGCCCTCCTGATCCTCCTGCCTCTCCAAGCTCGCTGTCTCTCTCTCTCTCTCTCTCTCTCTCTCTCTCTCTCTCTCTCTCTCTCTCTCTCTCTCTCTCTCTCTCTCTCTCTCTCTCTCTCTCTCTCTCCCCCTCCCTCCCTCCCTCCCTCCCCTCCTTTCACCCTCTTCCCCTCCCACTCAAAGAAAAATAAATGAACAATTTTTCCACTACCTTTACACTGAGTTGGTGTGGTTCTTAAAAAACGCCCATACCTAGGCTTGATACATCTAAGTAGCGAGATGAAATAAAGCAGTTGGGAGTTAGGATTGTCTCAAAGGAAACTTTATTTTGTTGAGATGGTTTTTATTTTATTTTATTTTGCATACTATTGTCACTTTTCTGACTTTAGAGACCTGATGTCTAGGACTGTGATGGCAAGCCAGAGGTTGGCCACCCTGTCTGTGTCGTCTCTGAAGCTACCACAGAGCTGGGCTCACCACTCAGAAGGCAGGCCTGTTACTTCCTAAACTAGCATAGGGCACTCCTGTGAAAATGCATGCAGGCATCACAGCATATACACAGAAATCCAGTTTGAATTGTAATGGAAAATAGAATGAAGAACAGGATCTTGTTCAAGTTGCCAGTTCCAAACATAAGTACAGATAAATATCTAGAAAAAGGAAATTTGAAGAAGTTTTCTAAGCTCTGGGGGGAGGAAATGATGCCATTTTACCTGAGGACAGAAAGAAAAGGAGTAAACAGAGAGACTGTCTAGTTTCTGATGAGGAAGATGCCATACTGTTACTTTATCATAAAACTAATGCTGCTTCATCAGTTAAAAAAGATCCAACTTTAATTCTAAAATTCATTGATGGCTCACGCCTTTAATCCCAGCCCTGGGAGGCAGAGGCAAGTGGGTCTCTGTGAGTCCCTGGGCTATAGAGCGAGTTTCAGGACAGCCAGGGCTACACAAAGAAACCCTATCTGGAAAAACAAAAAATAACCTTTAGGTGATGATAATGAAAAACAAACCATGCTGGAATGACGTTAAAATATAAAATGTTTAACTAAAATCACAGTTTTAATTCTGCGATATATATATGTATATGTGTATGTGTATGTGCGTATGTGTATATGAACATGTATATGTATATGTGTGTGTTTGTGTGTAAACATATACATACACACACATATATGACAGAAGATCTGAGGCTTTCTTCTGCCCTCAATGCGTGTGCCTTGGGTACAGGCACATATAGACATAATTATAAACAAACACTTACTACATATGCATATTAAGCAATAATACAACCTCTATAAAGTCCTGTAAAGGTAGATACGTATGTATTACAGGATTTCATTGTAGTGCTCCTTTTTCCTCACAGAGTGAACAAGACTTCTTATAAACAACAGATGAGCGAAGTACTGAGTAGCCACAATTTATTGCAATCACAATTATTGATGCTTTTGAAGTATCAGATTAATAAGGTCTGAATAATACCCATTACATCTCTTCTCTTACAATGAACATTTTCCTTATTTTCTTTCTTATTGTTTTATTTGAAATAATCATAAAAATAATACATCAATAATGAAACCAGCATCCTTATATGGTTCCTCAGTTTAAACACAATGTCTCTGGTGCATCCACCATTCATTGTTTCATACTTCTGTTAGCATGCTAAGAGTTTCTGTTTATTTCTAAGACGTACACTTATTTATTTATCCAAACAAGTCTCACTATTTAGCTTTGGTTAACCTGGATCTCAATATATAGGCTAGTTGGGAATTCACAGAGATCTGCCTTTCTTTGCCTTAGGTTGTTTGGGTTAAGAGTGTGTTGTACACCAGCATGCCTGAAATCTAAAACATTTAAATAAATCTATATATCCCTCCCCCCCCCGTGTGTGTGTGTGTGTGTGTGTATGCCACATGTATGAGGTTGCCCTAGGAAGCCAGAAGAACAGGCCAGGAAGTTATAAGCAGTTGTGAGCTGGCTGATACAGGTTTTGGAAACTAAACTCAGGTCCTCTGAAAAACCAGAACAAATTCTTTCCTTTAAAAAAACATTTTTTTGCATTTTATTATTCAAAACAGTTATAATTTTGCAGATTGGAGTAAAATGTTGGCCTCAATATTTTACTAATTGGCACCATATACATTTTAAAGTTAACTGGAACATTGTTTCACTACAAATGATTGTAAAATAAGATGATCATTTCAAATGTCAAACTAGTCTCTATGTGGTCATTAATTAAATCACTGTTTTTTGGCCCCAAGCACAAATGTGTATTTTAAAAACTATGTTAATATATTTGTCAATCCAACAAAATCAAAGTGTCATAATTTAAAGCAGCATTTAATCTCTGAAATTATTCTGGAAAGAAGTCACATAAATAAGTTGAGAAATCAGATATAAAAACAAATGATAACTCAATCACTTTTTTAGAAACTTCTTATTTTGTTATTCTTCCAAAATGAACTTTTAACCTTCAAGCCATGGCTCCAGCCCCACTAAGATGTAAAATTAAGCATGGATGGTCAATGAATTTCATCAAATGGCTTTGGAGTACTGAATGAGTTTATGTTGAATAACTTCTTCCATTTTTATGTTATTAGCTAATTACATTGTTAAATGTTTTCATGGCGAGGGGGGGGGTAGTGGGACCTGGGAAGAATAGAGGGGGTAAAGAGGAAGGGAGTTGGTCATGGGGGAACAGGAAGTTGAGGGGGTAGGGGTAAAATAGGGGGAAGAGGGAATCATAGGATCGAAGACAGATCAGGCACCAGAGTGACCTCGAGTGATCTAAAGGTATAACATCAATTGGCAAGCTAAGCAATAGTGGAAGGACCACCTCGAATGCCCATTCCTGATAATGAACTTGATGTCTATAACCATCCCGGAGCCTTCATCCTGTGACTGATGGAAGCAGAGGCAAACACACAACTAAGCACTGAACTGAACCCAAGGAACCCAGTGACAGAGAGAGAGGAGTGATGAGCAAATTGGCAAAGAATGGGCTGGCAAAACCAGCAGAGACAGCTGA